TTGAAGCTTGGTCACCCACATCCCAGGTGAGTGCTCTAACCACTGGGCTAAAAGTTATAAAGCAGGCAGCAGCAGCAGAACCTCCTCCTCTAGCCATTTGTGTGTAGTTAGGCACCTGCCTAACTCATTCTCACAAGAAAACGCCTTAAAAAGCCGCCTGACTCCAGGAGAGGGGTTCCCAGTTTATGAATTGCTAACAAAGATAGGTGCCCAAGTCCTAGCTACAGGGAGGCGCCTACCTCTGAGAGAGAGGGACAGGGCTTTGCACACACTCCTGTTGTTGGCATCTCCCATTGGCTAGCTTAGACAGCTTCCTACTAAGTATGCTGACTTTTCTGGATCACAGTCTAAGGCACCTATCTCTGTCCATTTATTGTATAGGGAGCCTAGGTGCCTAATTCAGGCTTTGTGAACCACAATGTTGTTCCTGTGATTTTCTAGGCACCTAAAAGTTAGGCCTTCTGACCCTGAGCATCATAATGCCCAAATCCCTTTGTGAATCTAGCCCACATTCCTTTAATCCTCAACCAACCCAGCAGCTAAACCGCTGTCTGCCTCAAGGAGGAAAATGTTTACAAAGAAGCCCTGCCTCTCCATCATTGCCCAGGCTCACCATTGGGAGCATGATGCCACATCATTAAAGATTTCCAAACACCGTCAATTACTAAAGAATTTAAACTACCTTCAAAATATTTGTCCCTACCTCACAGTTTGTCTCATCTGAAGAAGAGGTTAGCTCAATAAGGCACATCCAAGAAGCCTAGCACACCTACTCTTTTTTGTTTATATACACAAAAATGTGTTGATATTATATTTTAATCTACATGTTACAAGAAAAATATTGACAAACTGGAGGGAGTCTAGAGAAGAGCAACAAAAATACTCATGGTAATAGAGAGACCATTGTATGAAAAAAATTAAAAGAACGAAGCAATGACTAAACAGGAGAATGCAACTGTAATCTACAAATATTTTATGGGCATACACATTAAAGAAGAAACGATTTACTGTGATATATAGGAGTCTGCCTAAAAGTGAAAGGTTGAAACAAAGAAATGGAAAATTTAGGACCAATACCAAGAAAATCTTCCTGCCGGTGAGATGTGTTAGGCTGTGAAACAAACAATAAAGAGTCCTGTGGCATCTTATAGACTAACAGATGTATTGGAGCATAAGCTTTCGCGGGTGAATACCCACTTTGTCAGACGCATGTAATGGAAATTTCCAGAGGCAGGTATAAATATGCAGGCAAGAATCAGTCTGGAGATAACTAGGTTAGTTCAATTAGAGAGGGTGAGGCCCTCTTCTAGCAGTTGAGGTGTGAACACCAAGGGAAGAGAAACTGCTTTTGTAGTTGGCTAGCCATTCACAGTCTTTGTTTAATTCTGAGCTGATGGAGTCAAC